TATATATATATATATATATATATATATATATATATATATATATATATATATATATATATATATATATATATATATATTACAAGTATTATAGTTAGCCTACATAAAACAAAGGTCTATAGTATATAGCAAAGCTACGACGGATACATACATTTTAAAATGTAATTAGGAAAGAATATGGAGATTTTTTTGAATGTCCCAGAAACTTAACAAAATAAAATAATGAATGGACAATAATCTTAAATTCATCTATCAGATCATTAGCGTTATGCTCAGTGGCCTAACCTTACGTCAGTTCAGTTGGTTAAGTTTCAGACTAAACCAGACAACATTTGATATATTATAATGATAAGGGCAATTTCTAGAGTTTTAACGGTGTTTTTCCGCCCTAGACTTAGATGAGAATTGAAAAATGCGTCCTCCCTCATATTTCTTCTTATTCCATACCCCCCCCCCCCCCCCCCCGGCTGTTGTATTTAAATTTTCCCTCCCTTTTGTTAGTCACAACATTGTTCCGGCATAGGCGGCCATTTAGTTTTGCCTAATGGTAGAAATTGGAACTGCCCTGTAGATGATTTTTCGTTTTTCTGACTTGACTTAATAACAGTGGCCCTTTCCACACAAAAGATACGAAAATGCACAAAAATAGACCAAGATCTCCCCTCCCGATTATTTCAATTACACTTCACCACTTTTGGATATTTCATTTACAGCCCACCCCTTCTTTTTTTTTTCCCATTAAGAAAACCTCTGCAGTTATTCCGCCCCTATATATATATTAAAAAAAAAAAAAGTGCAGCTCGGGGCGCACTGCCCTTCTTCCCCACTCCTTCGCCACTGGATACTTCTGATAGTACATTTAATCTAAAGAAATACAATTGTGACTGAACGATTGATTGATCATGTCAATATTTAAGCAATAAAAAACTGTTTGGATTGTAGTAAGTAATAGGCCTACAAAAAAACTGCCCCTATTGTTACGTATATATATATATATATATATATATATATATATATATATATATATATATATATATATATATTTATATGTGTGTGTGTGTGTGT